AAAATTCAATTTCAATCGGAATCAGCTCAAACTTGCTACACAACATAAAAACATGTATATGTATCAGAAAAAATTATAAAAATAAAGAATTCTCTCCCAGTCATTTTTGGCAAAATTTGGGTAAGTACCCTGTACTATAGTACAGGGTCCTCACCCAAATTTTGCAAAAAATGACTAAAAAAGAATTCTTTATTTTTATAATTTTTTCTGATACATATACATGTTTTTATGTTGTGTAGCAAGTTTGAGCTGATTCCGATCAAAATTGAATTTTTTTACAAATTTTTAAAGTTGCCCCAAAGCCATGTACATGCGCTATTGTAGTGTTTGTCAGCTCATGAAGCATGCTTCTTAGCTCACTTAGCATGCTTTGTTGAAATTAATCTCTTATTGACATACATTATGCTTACCAGTTACAGTGAAGTTAACATTCATATAATTTGTATCAGAAGTCGTAATGTATTGATAAATTGGAGCTACTATAGTAACAATACATGTATATGTTCCTGAATCCTCCATACTGCTCAATGTAGTGAAATTAACAGTTGATCTATACTCATTGAAACGTGATCTCATCATAACGGGGCTAATATTAACACGATCTGTATCAGCAAGCCTCATTGAACTAGGACCACTCTCATCTCCAAAATCACCGCTACTCATGATTTTTTGATCAGTCTTGTTCCAGGTTACGTTAACAGTGAATGGTGTATCAACATTAGGATCAACACTGATATCACATGTTAGTATCAGGTTACTGCCAGCTAAGAAATAGTTCTCTCTTGATCGACTCACATCAACAGATGGAATGGGAACTAAAATAAAATAAATTATGAAACGAATAATGCATTAATTAATTATGCATGCATAATAAATTATTAGTCACTGTTATCATTATGCTTACTTTCTAATGGTAGGGTTGATGTGTCATTACTCCTTGCTACAATGGATATCTGACTAACATTAATGGAGGCTTCACAAGTATATAGACCAGCATCAGAAGTATTGAGAGAAGAGAAGTTCAAATAAAGAGAACTCATTACATTAGATACAGTCATAAGAACTGGAGGTACACTAATAACATTGTTAGCTGATCTCTTAGTCCATGTTATCACTGGTGAGACTATGAGTCTATCAACAACTGTCACTGTACAATTTAACATGTATTCTTCACCAGGTTCAGCCATGCCCATAGTTACTATCTCTACCACTGGCTCTGGAGTAGCTGTATTGAAAGCAAAGAAGAGAAAGAAATAAAAAAATGAGAGAGAGATTAGAGGAAGGAATTTGAAGAAAAATTATACAAAGGAATGGTATCATTTACATGTACATGTACATGTAGCGGTTTACAGAAAAGTTTTAGATAAGATTGCAAAGAATGCATACTTACCAATAACTGTAATGGAAGTATTAGCACTAGCTGATGTATTCCTGAGATACGTGTAACTATTAGGAGCAGTCACTTCAACATTACAAGTATACATTCCACTATCATCAGCATTATCCAATGGATGGAAAATTAATGTTGCATTAAAATGTGATATATTGATTATATTGAGATCCTCAGTAATAGTAGCATCAGATGAACCCATAGGAACATTAGTACCATCACGTCTCCATTGATTAGTGATAGTCACTGGTATAGTAACTAATAGATTTAACATTATGTCACATTTAATGAAGAATAGTGTCCCTGCATATAATGTATCATCACGTTCCTTTGATATAGTAACAATAACTGGTGGAACTATAAAATATTAAATAAATAAATATTTTTAATGAGAATCAATCTAAATTTTTAAAAATTAACTATTAAATTTATCACTTACTGTACAGAATATTTATAACTTACAGTCAACAATTAAAGTGAAGGTATCACTATCCTCTTGAGAATCATAAGTAGCAGTGCTAGGATCATTGGTATTATTAAAACCAGTTACATTAAACTCAGCCATACATGTATACATTCCAGAATCTTCAAACCTCACTGGATCCAGTATTAGAGTATAGTTAGTAACTGAACCAGTATCATCTGTTGTGATACTGTATGGTCTATTTAAGTTAGAAAGCATTTCCATATCTGTCTCATTCATTTGAATAAAAGTAACTATTGGTGTTACTACTAATCTCTCAACTGTTGTTATGGTACATGTTATAGTTAGACTCTGACCAACTTCAACTGAACCAACTGATGAGAAATTTACTTTCATTGGAGGAAGACCTGGTGATCAAAAAAAGAAAGACATGATAAAAAGGAACAAACAATAATAGAAGAGTATATAGGCAATGGAAGAACAGTATTCATTGTAGTACATAAAATAAAATTTACTTTCAACAGTAACATCAAGAGTAGTATCAGTAGGTTGACTTGATACTATTAATGAGTTACCCGAATTGATGATCATTTGACAGGTATATGTTCCTCCATCATTATTATAACCAGTATCAATAGGTTGAAACAATAGCATGCTTACAAGACTGTTACCAGTTGGAGGTATCACTTGACGTCTTGCTTCATTAGTTGGTATTGCATTACCACTAGGATCAGTCCATACTACACTAGCAGTTACTGGTGTATTCACTATTGTAGTGTTTACTGTAGCTGTACAGGTTAGTAAGTAACTTGTACTCTCATATATTGGACCAGTTGGAGGATCAGCAACTATTGATAGGCTGGGAGGAGATACTACAAAATGAATTATTATTTCAAATATATAATAATAAGTAGAACAAACTTTGAACAGTTAAATCTCTGTTAGTACGGTCAACAGTACCAAATACTAGAAATGTTGCTTGACAGTAATATTGCCTAGCATCAGTTGTCTTCACTGGATCAAATGTAAGTACACTGGTGAATATATTCCCATTTCTAACAACAGGTACTAGTGTAGCATCATTGTTTATGATAATCACATCTTGAGATGCTTCTAAATCATAAGTCCATCTGACACTAGAAAGATTCTCAACAAAATTAGGAGGTACAACTATAACACAAGATAAATTGAATACATCATCAGCAACAGGAACAGAAGGAATATTAATACTTATATCAACATGATTGATGTCAAACCCTATCAAAAATACATGTAAAATGGGATAAAATATAAATCGATTAACTTACTTGCTATAGTTAATGTAACTGCACTGCTATTATCATTCCCTGCTATTATAAAAGGAGTATTAGGAGTCACACTAACTGAACAATTATAACTAGCACCATTATCAAGTTCATCTCTTAAACTATTAATACGTAACACACCAGTGTACTGATTATTAGTCATAACTGGAGGACTGATAGTAAAATCACTTCCATTGGTCAGTACAGTGTTATTTCTCCTCCAACTCATAGTAACACTAACACTAGTATCAATATATTGACTGATGTCAGCTATACACATAATATCAAGAAACTGTCCTTCTGCTAGTTCTCCATCTACTAAATGCCCAGTAGCATTATACTCAACAATAACTGAAGAAGTTGGTACTATAAAAACAATAAAGAATTAAAACATATTCAACTATTTCAACATACATGTTAGTATCACTTCAGTTAGATTCTATTCCATTAAATTCATAGTCTATACCAGATTGAGTGATATTAACAATACATTGATAATCCCCAGCATCAGATGACCTTAATGAATCAATCATAATCATTGCTGTAGTATCACCAGATCCAGTAGTACTAGTAATGAGTTCTCCATTTCTTACTATACTGCTAGTAGCATTAATATTGTATAGGTCATCTAGCACATCAACTGTACAATTAAGAGTTAAACTTTCTCCCAGTGATCTACCAGTAGTAGTAGTGAACGTGATATTAGGAACAGGAATAGCTATAAAATGATACAATATGCACTACAATCAATTATTTTTATTTTAAGTTGAAATACCTTGTACAGTAACAATATATTCATCAGAAGCACTGCTTGGTATTATTAATGGATTATTAGCACTATCTCTTGCTGTAGCAGTACATGTATAATTACCAGCATCAGAGAAGTTGAGTGGTTGAAAGGTAAGAGCACCAGTAGTTTTAGTCTGAACTGCTATTAGTCTGGAACTGTTTTCAAATAATACTTGAGCATCATCTTTGAAGACATTAAATGAGACATTAGGATTAGTAGGTAAAGGAGGAGTGAAAACAACAAAACAGCTAACAGTTCTAATAGTTCCAAGAATAAAAGGAGAATTATCACCAGGAGATATAGATACTTGTGGTATAGGTACTATATGAGCAAGTATAAATTATAAATGGTGAAACTATAATAATAAATTTTACTTACTTCTTATACTAACAGTTGTATTAGCAGATCCAGTTCCATTAAATAGAACACCACCACCTCTATCAACAGTAAGACTAGCTTTACAAATGTATACTCCAATGTCTGAATAGTTGATTGAATTAAAAATCAAATCATATCTTTGTACAGTATCAGAAATAGAGATTAGATTGAAACTTATTCCATCCCCTTCTGTTAATTCATTTCTGCTGCTATTAAGCCATGTTATGTTGAGGTCTCCAGCTACTATTGTGACAGTACAGTTTAATGAATATGATTGATTAGCAAAGACAGGTTGACTTGAAAATATAGAGACGACAGGATTAGCTAACAACAGAGAATAGAAGAAATAGTCTAATATAAAATCGTGTACTTACTTAATGTCAGGAGGTTGTACATAATGCTTGCTGTTTTAGTTGTTAGTACATCAGGAATACTAAGAGTAGCTGCACAAGTATAATCATCTCTTTCATGAGTAGAAGCATTAAGAGAACTGAATGATAATGTGGCCATAAACCCACTATTAGTAACAGTGACTCCTTCCAGTTTATCATTAGTAAACACAGTACCATTAAGAAGCCATTGAACACTAACAGTAGCAATACTTGATACATTAGCTGGTGCAGTTCCAGTACACACTAACTGGAACGGGTCTCCTGTTACTGGAATACCAACATCCATTACGCTAACCATTGGTAGTGGTACAACTAGGAGAAAATAATTGTAACAATTATTATGCATAGCATACAATATTAAGTAGAGGGCTATGCCTATGCCCACAAGTAAACAAAAAACTTACTTTCTGCAATAACAGTAGTATTAGTTGACATAGCAGTAGCTGGTAAAATCAGTTCAAACCCATTCACAGTACTAGTAGGTCCAACACTAGCAGTACAATAGTAATCAGTTCCATTATCCAATAGAGATGCAGTGAATGTTAAATTACTTTCATAATTAATTGAGTTGATTATCCCAGTACTAATGCTATACTTAGCATCATTCATTGTAATGAGTCCATTAGGTCCAAACCAGTTAATGTCAACAGTTTGATTAACATCCAGTGGAGTAATAGTGACTATACATAATAACTGAATGTCATTGCTCTCAAAAATATGTCCTGTTGTATTAACACTAGCTGTGACCATAGGAGTAGGTACTAACAAAAAACATATACAGTAATGTGAATTATTATTGCTTACCTTGTACAGATATAGTGTAGTTTGATGTTAGGATAATAGTATCAATACTGTCATTCAATAAAGTCTCACAAACATATTCTCCAACTTGAGATGCTTGCAATGAACTGAAGTTAAGAGTAAGTGTATATACAACACTATCATTAACTGATATCATTGTAGGCTCTAAACTATCTAAAGCTATGTCTCCATCAGTTGTAGACTTAAACGGAATGAGATCAGGACCTGCCCAGAACATTTGTACTGTAGTATCATTCACTTCAGGAGCTAATGTCAATGTACAGGTTAATGAAAAGGAAGAAGAATGATCCAATGGCATCATAACTGGCCCTTGTACATCAATACTGACAACTGAAAAAAGATTTATTAATAAAATACATTAGTAGCTACATTATACCTTGAGGAATAGTAACAGTGATTATTTCACTAGGTAAGTCTTCACCAGTAGCTACTAGTCTAATATTATATTCATCATCAGGACGTAATGAGAGAGACAGCTCAGTATTTGTAGTGTTGTCATTCATAATAATACCATAACTGTTATTAACAAAGACATGATACTGAGGAGTAGCACTAATCCCTGCTGAGGGAGACCAGCCTAGTGTAACTGAGAGAAGATTATTATCTCTATTATAGGTCAAGTCTGATGGAGGTCCAGTTACTTTTAAAAGAAAGATATCATTTAATATAATCAAAGAATAGGGCATACTTACCAGTAATATTCCTTACTGCCATATTAGTAGATACTAAAGGTGTGGTTGTAATTCTGTCAGTAGTAACAGAACAGGCATATAGACCAGACACTCTCATTCTAAACATAGCTAATGCTTGCACTTCAAGTTCAGTATTAGTATTTGTTATTACTGTATGTATCAGATAGCTATCACTTACATTAAACTGGTTTCCATTATCAACAGAGCAAGTGACTATTGTTGGTGATCTATTAGTGACATTAAATGATAAACTAAACACTGGAGGATCAGCATCAACTGATGAGAGGAGCTGGAAGGAGGGACTATGACCATCAATCATTGGGAGTTCTGTATAATGAGAAGATCGAATAAAAGTATTTTAATATTTTAAGCTTACCATCATCTTTAAGAAAATCAGCATTACCATAAGCAGCAACATACAGTGTCTGATCAATTCCTTCTTCATTTGGTATAACACAACTGTATAGTCCTTGAATACTGGCTATTCCTCCGTTTCTCAACAAACCAATTTGACCAGTAGCAGTGTTGTTAGCAAACAAAGGACTAGGA